ATAGATGAAAACATCCACTTGCAAGTGGAAAACATGTGTTAAGTATATGGAATAAGAAAAGTGAGGTTGTGTTTCCATTGCTTCGCCCAGTGACATCAACCTCCATCACGTGATCATTGTCTGCGGTGTGTTTCATTGTGGCTTCACAGTGGCTTCGTTGCAGGCTGCTACGGACGTATGATGACCCGATATTATTTACAACAGGAACCAATAGAAAACGCCAAAATATTGAAAACACTGATTTTATTGGTGACTTATCTATATGGTCAATAGTGGTGCTTGGATTTTCTACATATATATTATTATTTATTTGCTATACACATACAGCTTTGTATATGTTATATGATGCGTTGATCAAGCCTTTAAGTATTTTTGCATCATTAAAGATGCATATGAGTAAGCTCCTTTCATAGTCTGAAAATAATGTCCGTAGACTTCAGTTATTTAGTTTCTGAAAACGTTAGCTTACTATCAAACATGCTTCGTTGTTTAGCTCTCGGAATGGGCCGATGCAAATTGCCAACGGTTTTTGAGCTCTCATCATCATGATTTGGAAAAGCATTTTAACTTGGTTGCTTTGCCCGGTCCAATTGCTTTCGTATATTGCAAGGCCAACATTCATGCTCTACAAATACAAGCTATTTGCAAAAATTACTTTGCAATTATACACATAAGTAAACTTTAGCGAAAATCTTTTTTCCCATATTAAATCGGAAAGTCATGTAAAAGCTCTTTTGTAATATATTCTTTTAGTTAATAGGGTGTGTCAATTGCATCAAAAATTCCTACAAACTGAACATTAATCTATGGTAACATATATACACATATATGAAAGATTAAATAAGTTTATTATCTATTGCTATTTTGTTAAATATTTAATAAACAAACTCAACTAATATTAAAATTATTAATGAATCTCTAAAACACATTCCTATTGGTTGTGACGTCTCTGGTCATATAAATGGCGGATGGTTTACGTTATGTGCATAGTGTTTAGTTGTGTGGTTGTGTTTCATTAATTATTTTGTGAATTTAAATAATTTATAGTTTGTGTTAAACTAAAAAATCGCAAACACCAAAACAGCAAAAAACAGTTCACCATCTGTACATATTTTTATGGTTACCGAATTTTTAAAAAACAACGAACGCTTTAATTCAGCCGAATTTAAGGGTGTCAAAGCCGCAGCGTAAGTAAAAATCTGTAAATTCATTATTAGTTACTATCTCCTTGATATACTAATCTGTCTGTATTGGTTTAAATTAGGTAAATAATATACAGAATTTCACTTATTCAACTTAACCTAACTTATACACATGACTGCTTTAAAAGTATGAAATTTCATATAGAAAGTAGTTATGGCAAAAATTACACTGATATAATTTTTTGTGCAAAAAAAGTGAAATCAAATATTTTCCGCCAAAAACGCCCAATCCGTATCGTCGGTTGCCTATCCCGATTGTGACGTAGCAGGTCATATCAACAAAGTGTCGCGTGATTATTTTATTGTTTTCGCAGCTTTGTTTTCTTATTTAAGTTATTGTGATTATCATTATTTTATTGATTATTATTATTATCTTGCATAACGGAAAATAGTGACATGTATGAACAACAAAATAAGTGGTGTTTTGTGCCAGGATACAAGAATACCTCAATAAGTGCTCCAAAAAATTCTTTCTAACCGTTCCTCATGATTGCGCATGTAAACTTTTATGGTTGAAACCAGCTAGACGTGATGTTCCTAAATCAAAATCAAAGTTTTTTTGTTGCGAGGATCATTTTAATGAAACTACGAACAAGAAGCTAATGATAAGGTAGACAGAATATACCTTCGATCGTACTCTGTGTTCTGGGCAAATTCTACCTTGTACAATGCACAAAGAACCCTCGCGTTTCAATTTCACATATCCGATATCACCATATTGTTCTCGTGATACCCAAAATACAAATTTAAGAGTTCATTTTACTTTAGTTAGTTAGGTTAAGTTGAATAAGTAAAATTCTATATATTATTTACCTAATTTAAACCAATACAGACAGATTGGTATATTAAGGAGAGAGTAGCTAATAATAAATTTACGAATTGTTATGTACGCTGCTGCTTTCACACCCTTAAATTCGGTTAAATTAAAGCGTTCGTCGTTTTTTAAAAATTCGGTAACCATAAAAATATGTAGACATGATAAATTGTTTGTTGACGTTTTCAGGATTCCTTCTGAATCGATTTTTGAGTTGAACACAAACTATAAATTATTTAAATCCACAAAACTAAACATTATGCACAGAACGTAAACAATCCGCCATTTATATGACCAGAGACGTCACAACCAATAGGATTGCGTTTTAGAGATTCATGAATAATTTGAATTTTAGCTGAATTTGTTTATTAAATATTTAACAAAATAGTAATAGATAGATAGTATAAACTTATTTGATCTTTCATATATATCTATTACCATAGATAAATGTTCAGTTTGTAAGAATTTTTGATACAATGATAACACCGTATTGTCTTTTCAATATAGATGTCCACTATCATGACCTTAACATAATTTTTATTCAGTTTTATTTCAGTTCAAAGTTCAATACTGAAGTTACGGAAAACAAGTTGGGTCAACACTTGGATAAAAATAAATTTATTTACCTGTGTGTTTACCTCAGTGGCGGTCCATGCAACTATGAAAATCCGGGCGAGGAGGATTAAAGAGTGAAAAATTGAATACATCATTTCCCCACTGAACGGAATCTAGAAATTAATAAAGTATTGACAATAACTCCACCACACCAGTTATAAGCTTGGGGCCTCATCGTACAAGAGATGAGGAAGGCGAAAGCGCAGGAGTAACAACCTCGTCAAAAAACCAGCATTCATCTGGCTCGGATGATCTGGTAGGACCCTGTAGGGACTCTTGTTTAGGATTACAGACAAAGATGCTGCCTTGCAGTTATCGGCGTTGGATCACCAGAGGCTAGGAGAAGACAACCTCGCACCTCCTCGTAAAGGGTTGAGACAGTGGACCTATTCCCCACTAGTTGCAAAAAACTCAACTGTTAAAATACGTATTCGCTTACGGCGATACAAGCTACGGAAAAGGATACAGAATTTTGCAACTTGGAATATGCAAAGTCTCTCGAAGAAGATAAATGAAGTATCATCCGAACTAAAGATTTTAGATGTAGAATTGACAGTGCTAATCGATACCACAAAGAACATCGTGGAAACCAATCAGCAAAAGAATCACAAAGGAGAATATAACCATGCATGAGCAGAAAGTAACAATATTTGTAAAGTATGTGGGTAACGATGACGCCATAGTCGAAAAAAGGACGATTTCTTTGAGCAGTTACATCAGGAAGTTACGAAAGTCGGTCATGGTAGAGAGGTTAAAGTACTCGGAGATTTAAATAGCCTTACAGGGACAAGGCCGTCAGACAGAGTTGTTGGAAGATAGGGACAAAATGCAGTTAATTACAACGAACATAGACTAATAACATTCTGCGAACTTAACGAACTGCAAATTATGAACGGTTTCTTTCCTCATAAATGGGTACATAAATACGCACGAAACCTCCGATTTGTTATAAACTACCTTATCGGATAAGGCAGACCACCGCCCTAGGTATCTACGAAGTCAGAGTCTACTAGAGGTGTGCTAAACGGTTATTTTTCTGTAACGGGTTGCAACGTTTCAGTTCCACCTTGGTAATCGGTTCCAAAAGGAACGTGTTAGTTTTTAAATTTTTTCATTAAAAATGCAGAATGATGATGATAGTAGTGATGATAAAAGTGGAGAGCGCTCGACGATACCGCATCGGTTCTGTAACGGACGCGAACCACTTTTTCAGGTTTATGAGACTGTTCGAAAAAAAATCCTTTAAGTCGGCAAACGGCTGTAGCTGGTGTGAAGTGCGCACAACTGTTTCTGTTTTATGAGACGGTTCCAAAAAAAAACGGTTAAATCGGCTAGCTGTAACTACGGTTTCAAGTTACACGTTTGCAACACTGTTATTTTAGCGGTTACGTTAAAGACCGACTATCCCTAGAGTCTACAAAGGAGCCACATGATAGTGATCATCATCTTTTGATTAGAAGAGTAGACCTTCGAATACGATCAGAAACGTACCAACAAAAACTGAAAAAATAGATTTTGTAAGATATAACCTAGAGGGTATGGACTGCGAAAGCACACGAGAACTGTACAGACGAAGACTGGACGAGAAGTTGCAACTTCAACGGTTTGAAAACACCACAGACCATTACAACTATACTAAGTGATGCATAAAAGAGGCAGTGACGGACGCATCGGGATGCGTTAAAGAAAAGAGATCAATCATCCCACCTTACTGGTGGGATGAAGATAACCATTATTATCCCACCTTACTGGTGGGATAATATAGAGAGGACAAAAATGTACACATGATATATATCTAAGCAACAAAACAGAAGATAGCAAGAGAACGTTGAAAAGAGGACAAATGGATGTCAGAAGGAAAATAGTAAAAAAGACGTGTGAAAAGCGATGTAACACGTTAAACTGCTAATTAGGAGGAACCGAAGGCACCGAAAACCTCTGCCTGCAGTGCTGCTAGATAGACTGAGAAGCCCAATAGTACTGTTGCCGGCCCCAAACCCGGATAAAAGAGGAGGGTTAAGCAAGGGACTAACTACCCCTTCTTGGAAGAAAACGATAGAATTGGAAATTTACGACAATGAAATACGCCTCGAACCCGAASGGATCTCTTAAGACGAAACACGCGACTAAAAAGGACAATGMATTTAGGAACATGAAACTTACTTAGCCACTATAGACCCGGAGCCGCTTCGCATGCCGCTCGAGAGATGGACAAAGAAAGTATTGACTTATCAGCGGTTTAAGACATCAGGTAAACAGGGAATGGAACTCAAAGAGTGGGAAATTTAGTATTATTATTATATAGCAGAAATCACCAGGACAACACCAACTTGGGCTTTATAGTCACGGAGCCCGCCGCAAAAACAATCATGCAGTTTAAGCCAATAAGAGAGCGACTCTGCTATATGAAAGGAGAGTGGTGTACCGACTCTGTGGTCTCAGCTCGTGCCCAGACGGAATATAAAGTCGGGGAATTAAAGGATAAATTCCTGAGAATACCCAAATATGAGATGCTGATTATTTTAGGATACTTTAATGCCAAAGTCGGCAGAAAAGAAGCCTACCAAACAACTGTAGGCAAACATAGCCTTCATGACACCATCAACAACAATATAACCAGACTTGTCGATCTGGTTATATCCCACAACCTTCTAATAAAATCAATCACATTCAAACATAAAAATATGCACAAGGAGACCTGGATTTCAAATGACTGGTTCACCAGAAACCAACTCGATCATGTCCTAATAGATAGAAGACATGGTAGTAACTGCTTAGACCGTAGAAGCC